AGGGGGCTGCTAGCAGTTAAAGGTGTTTCCTTTTGGGAGTCAAGCAGCAAACTCTAAAGACCCACCAGGCCGGTTTTATTTGAAAAAGCCAAACGGCCAAACACTGACAGCTCTCATGAAAATGCAAAAGAGTACCTAATTCACAACCTTACCTGACTGCTCTCCTTATCAGTTTACAACCCCTACTCGCCCTGCATTTCCTGGAGACCATTTGCTCTTTGAAAGATCTGATTTTGCTGAGCACAACCTTGTAAATTCCAAAGAAAATGTGTAATCACTCAACACGATCACTCTTCCTTACCTAAACAAAGGCATAAAACCCCTCTTCTCCTGTTCTGGGGGGCTTGGCCTGGAAGCATTAGCCTGCTGAGTCCGCTGGTGCAATAGAGTTGCCACTTCCTCTAACAGTTTAGGTGTCATGACCTCTCTGTCTTCCCGCTACAGGTCCACCCCTCTCTTTGGAGTGTACTGTCACCTTTCACGTTTTGCTAAATAAGCTACTCTGCTTTTTACCCTCTTGTCCGATTCTTTGTTCACGGCACCAAGAACCTGGTCACCACCAACGGGTCTTCAGTCACCCTGCAACATCCCTGCTGACTGCTCTGAAAGACTTCCAGACTCACTTGGCTCCTCACTGGCACATTGATCTCCTGAGCCATCATGGTGGTGCGGCACCCTCCTTTTATGACTGTTTGTGTGTTGAATATTAGTGATCAGTGATGTGTGAAGGCCTGTGAATTTGAGCATTGCTCAATGGCTACTGAGTCGTTGTGAAATCTTTCATCTTTAGATGGAGGCAGCACATCAAGATCTCACCAACCTAAAGAACACAACACAGACTAACACCTTCGTGGGATGGAACCAGAGCACAAATACAAGTGATTGAAAAGTTGGTGGTTAGCTCGGCATTGATACTCTCCTTATAGTTCTGTCACAGGTTTTCACTTAGAATTTATCTTGGAAGTCTCCCACCGGGGTTTCAGGTCCTCAGTGTTTTTAGGGTATGCTCTTTCTCTTTCTTTCTTTCTTTCTTTCTTTCTTTCTTTCTTTCTTTCTTTCTTTCTTTCTTTCTTTCTTTCTTTCTTTCTTTCTTTCTTTCTTTCTTTCTCTCTTTCTCTCTTTTTCTCTTTCTCTCTTTCTCTCTTTCTCTCTTTCTCTCTTTCTCTCTTTCTCTCTTTCTCTCTTTCTTTCTTTCAAGTTGGAATCTCACTCTGTCACCCAGGTTAGAGTGCAGTGGTATACTTACGGTCACCGCAACCTCAATCTGCTGGGCTTAGGCGATCCTTCTGCCTCAGCCTTCCAAGTAGCTGGAACTACATGCTTTTTCTTTAAATCAGCATTTTTAGTGCTTTCAACTGGTTACCTGTGAGGACTAAATCTGACCTTTTTGCTCCCTTATTCAGATTCCTAACTAAGAGGCTTGGAGACTCATGGCTGATAAGGACTCATCAGGTGGGGTTTCATTAACCTATTACACTATATACTAAGGTTTGTTTTCCATTCTGACTCTGGCATAACATAACAAATAAGGAAGGAAATAAAAGTATTTTATGGTCCTGAGAAGCCATCTCTTGGGGACTCTCAACTTAGGGAACCTTATAAGATGCTTATCTATCCTCTCTGAAGTCTGTTACTTATAGGATGTCATCCACTTATCAAAAAATCTAGAGTCTTTCGGCCCCTTTAGCGCATCAAAGCATCTCCTCTACTGATTTCCAAAATCTCATAGAGAGGAACTACAAGTTACCAGTCAAGAAATTTTTTGATTGCCTACTCCAATGTGTGTAAAGGTGTCTCCAACTTGGAATTTAAATGAGCAGAAAGGAAACATACAGACCTATTAAAAAGTGGGCAAAACACGTTACTAGACAATTCTCAAAAGAAGACATATGAACAACCAACAGATGCATGAAAAAATGCTCAGTCTCACTAATCATCAGAGGAATACACATCAAAACCACACTGAGATACCACCTAACTCCAGTAAGGATAGCCATCATAAATAAATCAAAATACAACAGATGCCGGCGAGAGTACAGAGAAAAGGGAACACTTCTACACTGTTGGTGGGAGTGCAAACTAGTTCAACCTCTATGGAACACAATGTGGAGATTTTTTAAAGAACTAGAAACTGACCTTCCATATGACCCAACAATCCTGCTCCTGTGAATATACCTGCCAAAATTCAAATCATCCTACAAAAAAGATACTTACACAGCATATTTATCACAGCACTATTCACAATAGCAAAAACATGAAACCAACCCTTCTACCTGTCAAAAGTAGAATAGATAAAGAAAATGTGGTACATATACATGATGGAGTATTACGCAGCCATAAAGAAGGACAAAATTATAGACATCCCAGCAAATTAGATGGATTTAGAGTCCATCACACTCAGTGATCCATCACAGAAACAAAGAACTGAATACCACATGTTCTCACTCATAAATGGGTCCTGAACATTTGTCACAATACTGCAAGAGAGGGATCAGCAGTAATGTGACACTGCTAAGGAAGGAGGGGCATGTAACATCACTAAGTGTACTTGATCCTAAACCAAGGAAAGTGAGGACTAGTTGGAGGCCCAAACCTCACCTGCAGTGTAGACTACTTATGTATCGAATCCTGACTTGCAGCCCACATCTTATAAAAAATAAATTAAAAAAAAAAGAAATATTTGAATCCACCTAGACCTATAAGCACCCACTTGGAAATGTCCCTCCTTCTTGGGTCAAACCAATGAAAAACCTCACCTGTATTGATTTATGGTTGTGTAACTTCTGCTGCACTAAAATTATATATAACCAAGCCACCATTCAACCACAGTGGGCACGTGTTTTGGAATAAACCATCTTAAGATATTTTACAGAGTTTGGCATCTTTTTGTCAACACTTGCTCCAAGTAACCTAGGCTACCATTAGCAGAAACCACTAGCCCCATCCTTTTATATTAAAGCTTTCTGTGTCCTGATGTTTTAGATGAATTAATCATAAATAACATGTAGATTTTAAATAATTGGATCTAATAATTATTGTCTTTAAACTGTAGCATCAAATCCACTTATATGTATCATAATCACTGATATATTCAGATTTAAATCTGACTTTGTGCTTCATATTTGCCCTATCAGTTTCATATTTCTTTTTAAAAATCCTTTCTTGCTTTGTTGAGGGAGACAGATACTTTCTTTTTTATTTTCTTTTTTTTCTTTGAATCAGACTCTCACTCTGTCTCACTCAGACTGAAGTGCAGTGGCACACTCACGGCCTCCACAGCCTCGACCTGCTAGGCTCAAGTGATCCTTCTGCCTCAGCCTTCCAAGTAGCTGGAACCACAGGCATGCACCACTATGCCCGGTTAATTTTTTGATTTACTGAAGAGAAAAGATCTTGCCAGGTTGCCCAGGCTGGTCTTGAACCTGTGGATGCAGGCAATCCTCTTGCCTCAGTCTCCCAAAGTACTAGGATTACAGGCATGAGCCACTGCACCCGGTGGACAGATACTTTCCTATAAATAATTTAGTTAGTTCATGATTCTGTGGAGTAGCATTTTTTTCCCCTGGGCTTAGCTGGGTGGTTCTTCTATTGGCTTCACCTGGATTCATTCATGTATTTGTGGTCAACTGAGTTGATGGTTTCATTTACATATCTGGTGGTTGACTGGCTACCAGCTAGGGTGATAACTGAATGACATGTCTCTCATCATTCAGTATGGTAGCCAGATATTGTTCACATGATGGTGGTTTCAGGGTTTTCAAGATCAGTAAAAGAGCAAGTGGCAATACACAAGCACTTTGAAAATCTCTGCTTCTTTCATGGTTGCTATTGTTTCATTGGCTAAAGCAAGTCACATGGCCAAGCCAAGCTGGATTCAAGGGATGGGGAAACGGATTCTACCTCTTCATGAATGTGCATATGAGGATAGAAAGAATTTGTAGTTTTTTTATTTTAAGGATTTGTTAGTATTTAGTGAACCTCCTTCTATGTGACTTCAAGTCACCAGGACACAGATCCCCACACCCCACATCCCTAATCTTCTCAGCTCTTCTGCTAAAGCATTTGATCTTCACAGAGACAGGCTGCTTTGGGAACTTTTCCTTTCTCAGAATTTTGTAGTAGACCTATCACACCACATCAATGATGGGAGCAGCTCCAGTCTTTATTTTAGCAGTATTCACCTGTGTCTGCTCACTGATCAAATTCCACAATTTATCAAGGTTGACAGTTGGGGAGAAGCTCTGGTTTCTTTTTAAGTGGTAACGCCTCATCCCAACTTTTCCAAAGTAAACTGGGTGATATTTGTAGAAGCTGATACTGTGGTGATGTATGCCATCAATATTACCACAGCCTCCTGGATTCCTCTGGTGTTTGTTGATAAGGCTATGGATCATGTGGACTGGAAGTTTCTGGGTCTTCCTCAGTCTGGATGGCATGGCGGTGGCCAAGGTGAAAGAGTGTAGCCATTTTTGCAAACTACCACAGGTGTCAAATTTCCAAAAGAGATTTATGGATTCAATGTAATCACAATAAAACCTTAATGTGTTTTCTCATGAAGCTCAATGAGGAAACTCACTCAACTATATATCAAGATACATTATAAAGGCATAGTATATCAGTGTGTTATTTGTGCAGGAATAGACAAATAGGAATAGTAAGAACAGCCCAGAATCTCACCCATGCATTAACAGACGCTTGATTTGTAATGTATGGCACTGCAGAGCTGTAAGGGAGGGATCATCTTTTTAGTAAATGGTGTTGGACAACTGTCTATTGAGTTCTCCATACTGATTAAAATCCAGTTAATCTAGTTAGAAAAGCCAGCCTTCCAAAGCCTAATAACAGGTGACCCTGTTCAAGGTGTTCAGGCTACTTGACCGGAAAGGGATGTAATTTCCCTTTTTAAAACTAGTCCTCTAATTCTTTCAATTGTTAGCCGAATGGCATAAGAACCAGAGTATTTGCCTTAACCTTCATTTCATCAGAGACACCCTTCTTACCTCATTCCTTTCATACCAGCTGACATTCTGCATCTTGGAGAATTCCTGGGATCGCTTTACCACAAAATAAATGAGGTACCCGCTTCCACACAAACAGCAGATGATGAGAAAGTTGGCCAGGACACGGAGAAATCTTGTCAGATGGATGTTTTCTTCTTTGTTACTCTCCTGTTCATCCACTATTGATTCCTTAATGTGTGAAAATGAGATGTCAGAGCAGCAACCAACAGGAACAGTGGCTGTTGAGTCCCTGAGAATGCTACTTTCTATATTTCCATAAATGAGATAATACAGAGATGGTGCTGCAATGCCCTGTGCCCTAAGAAGAATTAGTCATTTTCTTTAAGAAAATATACTTTATTGTTGTTGCCATTTTGGTACATAGAAGAAAAACTTAGGTTTATTGAATACTCACCATGTGCTTTATTTATTTGAGGTTTCTTCACTTCTTTCAGCAATCTTTAATGTTTTTTTAGAATAGTGGTCTTGTTCATTATTTTGGTTAGATTTATCCCTAAGAATTGTATGTTTTTGATACTATTGTAAATAGAATTAAAAATGATTTTTGAATTGTTTCTGCTAGTATATAAAAATATAATTGAATTTTTTTTTCTTCAAGTTGCAGTCTCACTTTTGTCACCCAGGCTGGAGTGCAGTGGCACAATCACGGCTCACCACAGTCTCAACCTCCTGGGCGCCAGGTGATCCACTCTCCTCAGTCTCCCAGGTAGCTAGGGCTACAGACATGCACCACCATGCCCGACTAAATTGTGGATTTTTTGTAGAGATGAGGTCTCGCTATGCTGCCCAGGCTAGTCTTGAATTCCTGGACTCAAGCAATACTCCCACGTCAGCTTTTCAAAGTATTGGGATTATAGGCATGAGCCACTGTGTCCAGCTAGTAACTCTTTCTAAAGACACACTTATAGTATGAGGTAGAACCAGTATGGAAAATGAGGTTTCCTAGACACCAAAGTCTTAACTCACATAATTCTCACAACTGCCTTGTTATGTAAGTGTATTACATCTGTTTTTAAGAGACAAAGGAGAAGTCTTTCTCCTTCTCAAATGTTCAAAGTACTTCATAGACATTGATCTGCTTTGTCCTTCTCTGATAGGCCTAGAGGAAGTGTCAAAGCCCCTATCAACTCCCACCCTGACCTTGGATGCAGGTGGCCATAAGCCCCCCATTGCTGTGAGAAGGAGACAGAGTCAGGTCTCTGCTCCATGCACAGCCAAGCTCACAGGGCTCTGGAGTTCATGTAATGTAGTGAATGGCTGAATTCAATCTCTTTGTCTGGTGAGTGTCTCTGCCATCTTCAGGCCTCAGTCACTGGGCAACAGGAAGGACAGGGAAAGAGCAGAGGGACGAAGAGAACCATGCACAGTTGTGGAAAGCTGACCTCTGCTAGGTCCTGGGGGAAAGAACCTGGCTGATTGGACAGGAGAAATACTGAGCCATCAAGAACAGGGATAGTTTTTACAGTCATGGGGGAAAAATACAACGAGCAGTGCCTGGTGTCACAGCTTTGGCCTTCATTCATTTGCTTCCTATTTGGTTTGTTATTTTTGTATGAATTACAGTTTTGTGGGCCAACTTACATCTTTTTTGAGAACAAATCTATGAGATAATTATGTGCAGGTTATAAGAAACGTAGAGTTGATTTATTTATTCCCACTCTCCCAAACTAGAGTTCTCAACTCTTTCTGGGTGTTCTAATCACTTAGGGAGATTTTTAAAAACCAGTGGCAGGTCAATTACATCAGAATCTCTTTTGGTGGGGCCCAGGAGACATTTAAAGCTTCTTAGAAGATTCTAGCATGCAGAGAACTGCTTGCCTCAAATAAACCTTTCCAATTCCTCCAGCAGAAAGCTGTTCCTTGAGGAAACAGGCAGAACCAGATCTCAGCATCCAGAATTCTCTGCCATATTAAGAAACAAGTGGTGGGTTCCAGCCACGAGCATTCTTTCTTATGGGCTTGAGAACTGGGCTTGCACTCTGGGGAAGATCTGCCACAAATTATTTGGGGATCTTATTTCCAAACCCTAGTTGGGAGAAGTCTTCCAATGATCAAGGGGCCCAGAGTTCTCCTGGCAAGTGGGAACTGCTCTGGGATGACTACCTTGAAGCTGGTGGTAATGGAGGCATATTTGTTGTCGGCCGTCTCTGAGTTCCCGATCAGGTAGTCCCAGCTGGTGAACATCTTGAAGCTGAATGTGAAGTTATCACTCTCCCCATCACTTGTGCTTCCCTGAGTATTGCTGGCCATCCTGCAGGGCACACACCTCTGTTGTGATGCCTGTCCTGTTTCTGCTGTATCACCCCAAGGGAATGTGGCTTGAGCCAGTCTTGGGCACAGGGAGCAGATGAACAGGCAGCTGATATTCAATGAGGGAACAAGCCAGACAGGGACTTGAGCCAAGACAGCTTTGATGATAGCCAGGGCACCTTTCCCCCCTCAAATTCAGAGTCCCCTGCAAGCACACATAGTTTCAGTTGGGCAATAAGAAGTCTGCAGGATACAGGAGAGTTGACCATGTTTTCCCCCCTTACACCTGATTTCCTGTGACTTGATGCATTTGCAAATGCAGTTTGAGAACCCTTTATTGGGACTCTGTTCTCAAAGAGGAGCACCCCCTTCTAAGTCATATATTTTCTTGGATAGAACACATATTTTTTTTCTGATATAAACCCAGAAAATCTGAGGCAGTTGAGCCTACCATCAAATCATGTACACACCCTTTCCTTTTCTTTTCCCTTTCCATTTCCTTTTTCTCTTTCTTTTCTTTTCTTTTTTTATTTAAAAGACAGGATCTCACTCTGTGGCCCAGGCTAGAGTGCAGTAGTGTAATCATAGCTCACCATAGCCTCAATCTCCTGGGCTCAAAGGATCCTCCCACCTCAGCTTCTTGAGTAGCTGGGACCATAGGCGTGTGCCACCACACCAGGTTAATTTTTTTTCTTGTTCTTTAGAGACAGAATCTCTCTATGTTGCCTAGCCCGTTCTCGAACTCCTGGCCTTAAGCAATCCTCCTGCTTTGGCCTTCCAAAGTGCTGGGATTACAGGTGTGAACCACCATGCCCAGCTCAATCCTTTTTTTAAGCAAGCTTGGTTGAAAGTACTTGGAACCGGCCGGGCTCGGTGACTCAGCCTGTAATCCCAACACTTTGGGAGGCCGAGGTGAGTGGATTGCCTGAGCCCGTGGGTTCAAGACCAGCCTGGGCAACTTGGGGAGATCTCATCTCTATGATAAATAAAAAAATTAGCGTGGTCGCACATGCCTGTAGTCCCAGCTACTTGGAAGGCTGAGATGGAAGGATCGCCGGAGCCCAGCAGGTCGTAGATGCTGGGGTGGCCATGAGTGTGCCACTGCACTCCAGCCTGGGTGACAGAGTGAGACGCCAATACCAAAAAAAAAAAAAAAAAAAACTAAAACAAAGAAAGAAAAAGTACCTGGAAACTTGCGATTTCACCCCTTGTCCTTAGCCTGTATTCCCTGGAGCTTGGCCCTGTGGGCATCACAGAATTCCAAGCAGAGGCTCTATCAGATACTGTGGAGGGTTTGTGTTCTTTCCTAACTCTACCTTACATTTTGGATTTGCTGTTCCACAGAGCTTAGTTAGGTTTTTTGATGCATCACAGAAGCATTCCATATCCCTACATTTATCTGGAATAATAGCAGGGAAAAAGTAACAACCTGAGGGCTAAGAATAAAACCAAGTCTGTCTTGTTTTTTTCTCTTTTGCTGGATAGAGATGGGCAACCAGATATCACTTAGAGGTAACTGTTGAGTGCTGGGCAGGACCTTGTGAACAGCAGTATTTTCCCCTGAGACGATGTGATAGATGGCCAAGTCAGGCTTCCCCAATGCCCTTTCCAGAGTTCTAACCAGGCTTTAAGAGGGTTCCACTCCTTTCCTGGAGACACAGCCATGCATACCCTTCTGGGAGAAGTGACCCCTTATGTTCTTGCTGAAGCGGCTGTCCCTGGTGGTGAGGTTTGTGCAGGAGACTGAGCCTCCCACCCCACACTCCCCAGCCATAGCAGATGGAGTCTCCGGACTCCAAATAAGGCAATTCATGGGCTGGGCCAAATTTTTCATCAGAGAATATGCATTAAGAGGCACAAATACATTAAAAGGTCACTTCTGACCACAGAGACAAGTAGAATTGGGGCAGAGAAGTCACCAAGGTTAATCACAGCCTCATACATTTACTTAGTATACATTTATTTTTCTCTTTATAGGTGCCAGGCTTGGCTCTAATACACAAGCAAGAGTTATGGAAGAGCAGAAGAGTTTTTCTGAGGAAGCTGAGCTCTGGAGAAATGCAGAAACAGGCCTTACAAACCTCTATTCTTACCTGACCAGTACCTTACCTTCAAGCCATACTGGCCTTTAGATAGTCTGGGGAACACACTAGGATATTTGCTCCTTCAGGGACTTTGCACATGCTCTCCTCTGTCTAAAATGCTGCTCCCCAGACTTTCAGCAGGCTGGTAATTCTCTGTTTCATCTAAAGGAGTTTCTATCCCATTTCCCAGAACATTCCATATCACCTGGTTTATGTCTTTATACCACATATTACAATCTGCATTTGCATTGTATATTTATTTTCTTGTCTTATTTCTAAAGGCCCCACCAGAAGATAAGTAGGCACAGAGTGGCCAAAGGAGTGAAGTGTTTTGGTGAAGAAAAGTCAAAGTCTGTAAATGAGACAGCCATACTTACGATCTAATGACAATCATCAGGCTGTAGCCGAACACACTGACGCCTACCATAAAGTAAGCCATGGGCAGCCTGTACCTCAGCCACCCGATGGTCCTCTGGTTGTTGTAGTAACCATAGAAGAGTGCGGAGTACTTGATGTAGCCCTGTGGGACAGCAAATCCAAACGCTCTGGGTTGGTAAGTGCAGAGCAGACGGTCATCAGACACTTCCTTTCTACCATGGATCTCTTTCTCAGATTTCTAACTCAGGTCTAAGGGGGGAGAAGGAAGAGTTCTGGGTGTTCTTGTTTTTCCCTTCATGTTCCCGGTGCTCTAGGAACCCTCAATGTCTTCCCCCATTTCCTTTCCTCATTCCCTTAATTTCCCCATTTCACAGAGTGCATGGAGATGTGGGATGGAGAGGAGAGTGTTGTCAACACTCAGGATAAAATTAAGAATAAGGTGTGTGTGTGTGCGCGTGTGAACATACACACATAGCTCCAAATTATTTCCCTTTTTCTCCAGGGTCTTCATTTGACACTCCAGAAGTGGATGGGAGTCTGTGAGCTCTCTCAATACTTCAAAACTTCTGAAGAAAATTATACACAATAAGGCTCACTGTTTACTCAGAACCTCAAATTTTGTTTTGTTTTATTTTTGACTTTTAGGTGTAATTTGCTTTAAGTATAATTAGTATAGTTTTTAGGTATAATTATTTAGGAGTAATATTAACTTAGATTTTCAGCACGTTTAACATGTGTTTGTGAATACAAAGCAAGGGATTATTGTTGAATAAATTCAGTTTTGGGGGCTTTTTTTGAGTCAGGGTCTCACACCGTCACACAGGCTGGAATGCCATGGCACAATCATGATTCAACACAGCCTTAACCTCAGGTGATCCTCCCACCTCAGCCTCCTGAGTAGCTGGGACTACAGGCACAAGCCACTACACTCAGCTAATTTTTAAAAATATATATATTTATAGAGGCAAAGCCTCACTTTGTTGCCCTGGTCTCAAATCCCTAGGTTCAAGCAATCCTCCTATCTTGGCCTCCCAAAGTGCTGGGATTATAGGCATGGACTACCGAGCCTGGCTTTAGTTTGTTTTTTGTAGATAGAGTGTTTCAGCAGGGGTCCTTGGGTAAAATAAAGTCCAGCCTGACTTTGAGAGTGAGGGATAACAGCAGCAATGACCTGCTGTGGGGCCACCACATCCATGCCTCCAGGTTCAGCAAGCCTTCAGAGCTGCAGACTGACCCCCAGGGGCATGGTGGTGTGGGGGGTCACAGAGCAGGGAAGGTGTTCCAGGGAAAGGATCATCAGACGGTCATCAGACACTCTCTTTCTACCATGGATCTCTTTCTCAGAGTTCTTACCCGGGTCTAAGGGAGGCACTGACTGTGACTGATCATGCAGGAACTTACCCAAAGCTTGGTGACATTGAGGCACTGAAGTGTGAGGTATTCGATGGACATGGAACTGGAAGAGGTCGGGAGCAGACAGGTCACTAACAATCCTTTTGTAAACCCAATTAAGAACACTGACTTGCCAGGCTCGGTGACTCAGCCTGTCATCCCAGCACTTTGGGAGGCTGAGGCGAGTGGATTGCCTGAGCCCATGGGTTCGAGACCCACACGGGCAACTTGGCAAGACCTCGTCTCTACAATAAATAAATTAAAAAATAGCCAGGCATGGTAGTGCACACCTGTAGTTCCGGCTATTTGGAAGGCTGAGGTGGGAGGATCGCTGGAGCCCAGCAGGTGGAGGTTGCAGTGGCTGGGAGGGTGCCACTGCACTCTAGGCTGGGTGACAGAGTGAGACGCCAACTTAAAAAAACAACAACACTGGTTTTTATTCCATTGGGAATGGAAATCCATGAATATCCAAGATAGGAGAGTGACAGCGTCAGATCTGCATTTTAGAAAGCTCATTCTGGCAGCAGAGGGAATGGGGATTCTAAGAGCCAAGACAAGGCAGGGAGGAGAGTCAGAAGATCTGATGATAGTCTTGGTGAGGTGAGGGCATTATTCAAAATAGAAGTCAGAGGGATGGAGAGAAGTGTTTTGCCTAATGCTGGAACCCCAGTTGATTTCACACTTATCCATGAAACCTCTAGATCTTATAATCACAGAATGAAAGTGCATTTGCATGTCAGCAATAGTACCTCAAAATCCCAGAGGACAGAAAAGTCCATGGCTTTTTCTTCCTCAGCCCGAGGCACTGTCTTTCTGGGAATACTTCCATAGGGCATGCCCATCAGAACCTTGGGTAGGGACACAATGGCACAGTATGAGTGGCAAATGTACACACACAGAGACATTCATATACTGGGTTAAATACTTTCCTTTTCAGAGCAAGACATACCAATTTTCTACTTTATTTTTATTTTTTTGAGCTGGAGTCTCACTCTGTCACCCGGGCTGGAGTGCAGTGGCATGCTCACGGTCACTGCAACCTCGACCTGCTGGGCTCAGGAGATCCTTCTGCCTCAGCCTTCCAAGTAGCTGGAACCACAGTCATGTGCCATCGTGCCCAGCTAATTTTTTGATTTGTTGTAGAGACAAAGTCTCCCCAAGTTGTACAGGCTGTCTTGAACCCTTGGGCACAGGCAATCCTCTTCCCAAAGTCTCCCAAAGTGCTGGAATTACAGGTGTGAGCCACTGCACTCTGGCCAATTTTCTACTTTAGATAAACCTTATCACTTTCCTGACTTTAAAAGTAACACATGCTCATTATAGAAAATATGAAAAAGTGCAGAAGGGTCTTTAAAATATCACCTACCGGCCAAGCATGCCTATAATCCCAGCACTTTGGGAGGCTGAGGCGGTAGGACTGCTTGAGCCCAGGAATTCGAGAACAGCCTGGGCAACATTGTGAAATTTTGTCTCTAAAATAAATAAATAAATAAATAAATAAATAAAACAGCTGGGCATGGTGGCATGTGCTTGTAGTCCCAGCTGCTTGGGAGACTGAGGTGGGAGAATAGCCTGAGCCTAGGGGTTTAAGACCACCCTGGGAAACTTGGTGAGACCTTGTCACTACAATAAATCAAAAAATCAGTTGGGCTTTGTGGTGTGTGCCTTTAGTCCCTGCTACTTGGAAGGCTGAGGTAAAAGGATCGCCAGAGACCAGCAGGTCGAGGCTGTGGTGGCTGAGAGCCTGTCACTGCACTCCAGCCTGGGAGACAGAGTGAGACTCTGACTCAAAAAAAAAAAAAAATTCGCTGATTGCCTCCACAATTCAAAGATAATGACTACTAAATATTCATATATTTTCTTTGTTATTTCTAAGTTTTATATATATTTTAGTATAGTTATTTAACTGAATATTATTTTATGACCTACTCCCTACATCCTAAGGTATTTCCCTAAATAAAATGACTTCAAAATATCTAATTACATATGCATGCAATAAACTTACTTAACAACTCTCCTATTGTTGGACATTAGAGTACTTCTAATTCTGCACATGTACATAATTCTGTTATTAATACCCTTATTCACTTCCTTAATTATAAAATAAAAATCAGAATTGGATTAAATTTATATATTGGACCAGGCTTAGTGGCTCAGTCTGTAATGCCAGCACTTTGGGAGGCCAAGGCGAGTGGATTGCCTGAGCCCGCGGGTTTGAGACCAGCCCAGGCAGCTTGGTGAGACTTCATCTCTACAATAAATCAAAAATTAGCTGGGCGTGGTAACGTGTACCTGTAGTTCTGGCTACTTGGAAGGCTGAGGTGGAAGGATCACCGGAGCCCAGCAGGTCAACGCTGGGGTGGCCATGAGTGTGCCACTGCACTCCAGCCTGAGTGATGGAGTGAGACTCCAACTAAAAAAAAAAAAAATTATATGCTGATTTAGGAAGGATTGACTTTTAAAATAACATTACGTTTTTCTGTTCTTCCATGTACTCTCTTATTGTTGTCCAGTAATTCTTTATAGTGTTCCTCACATAAATCTTCTAATTTTACTTTGTAAAATTCCAAGTAAAAAATTCCAAGTAAAAAATTTTATTCGTATGGGGAAGTATGCTATGCATAAAATAGTATATATAAAATATATAGGTACAGGTGATTGTAATGAAAAGAAAATTAACTACTGTGTATCCACTGGCTTAAGAAACAGAAAGTCAAGCCAGGAATGGTGGTTTGAGAATGGCTGAATTTTAATACAGGGTTTAAAAAATCCAGACTTAAGCACACAGAGAAAAAGATGGAGATGGCAGAATTCATTTCCTTTTGGTTGTAAGAGTGTTTCCTTGCTGAGTGTCAGCTGGTGGCCACACTCAGCCTCTTGAGACCTTCCACATTCCCCATCACATGGTCCTCCATCTTTGAGCCAGCAATGGTGTGTTAAATCCTTCCCATGTTGTGAATATCGGCGACTTTTTTTCTGCAGCTAGTCAGATAAAACTCTTGGCTTTTAAAAGACTTGAGATTAAATTTGGCCCACACAAATAATCTCAAAGTGATATTTCATCATATTCCCTGGTTTCATCCACACTCAAAGGGGAGGGTCTTTTAGGGTCATTCTTAGAATTTTACCTACTGCATATACGAAAAACAACCAAACAATGACAGCAGAAGTTTCACCTGGGGGATTATGAAGATTGGGAGATGTTCAAAGAATATAAAATTTCAGTTAGACAGGAGGGATAAAGTAAAGAGATCCATTGTACAACATGGTGACTATAGTTAATGATAATGTGCTATACACTAGAAAATTGCTATGGGAGTGGATTTTTAATTTAATTTAATTTAATTTTTTTGAGTTGGAGTTTCACTGTGTCATCTATGCTGTAGTATAGGGGCACACTCCCAGTCACCACAGCCTCAGCCTGCTGGACTCAGGTGATTCTTTTGCCTCAGCCTTCCAAGTAGCTGGAACTACAGGTGCGTGCCACCACACCCGGCTTTTGATTTATTGTAGAGATGAGGTCTCGTCAAGTTGCCTGGGCTGGTCTTGAACCCGTGGGCTCAGGCAATCCTCTTACCTTGGCCTCCCAAAATGCTGGGATTATAGGTATGAGCCACTGTGCCTGGTGGGACTGGATTTTTTTTTTTTTTTGAGTTGGAGTCTCATTCGGTCGCCCAGACTGGAGTGCAGCGGCCACTCCCGGCCACCGCAGCCTCGCCTGCTGGGCTCCGGCGATCCTTCCGCCTCAGCCTTCCGAGTAGCCGGAATTACAGGCATGCGCTACCACGCCCGGCTGATTTTTTGATTTATTGTAGAGATGAAGTCTCGCTGCCCAGGCGGGTCTCGAACCTGCGGGCTCAGGCAATCCACTCACCTCAGCCTCCCAAAGGCGTGGGATTATAGGTTGAGCCACCGAGCCCGGTTGGGACTGGATTTTAAGTGTCCTCACCACAAATAAATAATAAATACAGATATAGGAGGTAATGCATATGTTAATTAGTTTGATTTTGCTATTGCACAATGTATACTTATTTCAAAACAGCATTCTGTATAATGTAAATATATGCAATTTGTATCTTTCAATTACAAGAAAGAAATTTTTTAAAAGTTTCACCTAAGCATATCACAGGAAAATCTATGCAAATTCTTCAAGAGAATAGAAAAAAGAAATACTCTCAAATATTTATGAGGACTAATTTTGAACCCAAAACATGATAAGAACATTATAAGAAAGGATATTTATAGCTGGGCTCAGTGGCTCTACCTGTAATCTCAGCACTTTGGGAGGCCGAGGCAAGTGGGTTGCCTGAGCCTGTGTGTTCGAAACCAGCCCGGGCAACTTGGCGAGACTTTGTCTCTACAATAAATAAAAAATTAGCCAGGTGTGGTAGCGCATTTCTGTAGTTCTGGCTACTTGGAAGGTTGAGACGGAAGGATCACCAGAGTGCAGCAGGTCGTAGATGCTGGAGTGACCGTGAGTATGCCACTGCATTCCAGCCTGGGTGACAGAGTGAGACTCCAATTCAAGAAAAAAAAAGAAAGAATATTTATAGTCCAATCTCTCAAATATAGATGCAAAGATTCTAGGCAATTCACAATCAAAATCTGGCAATATATAAGAAAGATAATACATAGTGATGTAGTTGGGTTTATTCCAGGAATGCAATATGATTTAACACTTGAAAGTAAATCAATAGAATTTGCCAGTAGGACAACCCTTTCCGGTCCCTTCCCACTCTGGGAGCTTTTTTGTCCTCTCAATACATCCTACCTTCTCAAAAACAAACAAACAACAAAAAAAGAATTTGCCACATAACAATCTTAAATTTGTGCGTGTCCAGTAACATTGCATCAACATATTTAAAACAGAAAATAATAATTACAGGGAGAAAAAGATAATAGCAGAAGATTTAATTTATCTCACTCAGTAATTGATAGTTCATGCTAATATAAAAGTAGTAAGACTATAGATGACTTGTACAATACAAGTAATATATTTGAACCATGCAAAAATTGGAACTATTTAGAAAAAGCAACCATGTTCTAGGTTAATAAAGCAATTTTCAAGCAATGAAAAATTATGTTTCATACAAAATATACTCTGTGATCACTATAAAATTATGCTAAAAACTGAGAGCAAAACACCACCAATCTTCCTCTATATGAAAATTTTGAAAATCCATTTATAAGTAACTTGTGGCTTATAAAGAAATTATAAAATATTTCAAAATAAACAATGTCAATGTATACCAAAGTTTATGGAATGCAGCTAAAGTGGTACTGAGAGGGAAATTTGTATACGGGTACTGTGTTCTACACTTACTGCAGGCCACTAACTACCTTGTGCCTCCCATTTTTCTCCTGTTTGAATAGAAATATCTGTAGCATTTATCTTTTTTTTTTTGAGTCATTCTCACTCTGTGGCCCAGGCAGGAGTCTAGTGGCATGGTCACGGCCACCACAGCCTTGACCTGATGGGCTCAGGTAATCCTTCTGCCTCAGCCTTCCAAGTAGCTGGAAATACAGGTGCATGCTACCATGACTGGTTTATTTATTTATTTTATTTATTGTAGAGACGAGGTCTCACTAAGTTGCTCAGGCTGATCTCAAACCCCTGAGCTCAGGCAATCCTCTCGCCTCAACTTCCCAAAGTGCTGGGATTACAGCCTTGAGCCACCACGCCCGGCTGTAGCATTTATTTTATGCCTGTCCCACCACTGTATGCTTGTGTTGGGTGCAGATAATATGTCTCTGTAGTCTCACTGGTGAGAGACTTTAGTCTCAAAGAGGAGCTGTACTTAAGGAGCTACCCCCTTGGGGCCTCATCTGCACCTGAACTATTGATTTA